GGGTTTATTGATGTACTGTGTTTTTAGTGCCATCTCATTATTTGACATATAGCACAGCTTGCTTTTTATTCCTTTGGGTTAGACATTAAATATTCCTCAGTGCTTTATCCGTCATAACCGGTACACCTAGAATGCAACTTTGTAAAGTTATTTTGAAAAGCATTGATGGAAACATTGGTTTTCCTATCAGAAAATAGCTTTTTATTCAGCTAAATGCTTTCATAATATCAAACATAAAATATACTCTTTTTTTTTCTTACTATATGAAGTTCAAATTGCCTTTTCGTTTACAAACAATGAGGATTAAGTCCTCATTTCAGTCAGTGAGATATCAGAGAGCTGGTATTTTTTCAGAAAGCTAAGGGGCTAAAGTAGAACATAAATAACTAATGGCTTGGAGAAAACTGCAAGTTGCATGTAGAGAATCTTTTAGCTTAGAAAAGGGATTAATTATTAAGAAATTGTTCTAAGTAATATGAAGTTTTGTATGGAGATGATAAGCTATTTTTTGGTGTCCTATTATGTCACGAGATGGAACGATAGGAAAGTAAGCCCTTACGACTTTGTCACGGACTTTGAGGCAGGCTTAGCAGTTCACCAGCCACTGGGATTTGAGAAGGAGGAGCAAATCCCTGGACATGTTGATAGGGTGTGGGTGACATAACAAGGTGACCCTGACCAGAAGAGTCTTATGTTGTGGGTCCCCAAAGCACTAAAGATAATGTTTTGGAAGTGAGATGAGGTGGCCTGGGAGGAGATCTTAACTTGGGCCATGAGAAGTCATAGAATTATACAACGAGGCCCTTAAATTTTATTAGTGAAAATACTTTTCATATACAACATTCTGTGGTTGTTGTGGTGGGCCTTTTTTTATAATACTGCTTCCATACTTTTACCCCAACGTCTACTGGAGGTGGGGGAGACAGGAATAGAGTAACTTCTCCTATTCCCTATCAACTCTGAAACCTTATTTTGTAGAATAATTTTTTTTTTCCTGTAGCTAGTTTATAGTAAGGCTTTAGAAATGTATTTACTACAGATAAAGTGATATAACATTTAATCATTTTGTACAAACAGTACTATGACATAGTTAAACCGTTTTTAAAAGTGGCATATGTGAAAGGAAAAACTATATTTTGTTAAAGAGGTATCTTTTGCGGGGAGGATATTTTGTCATGAAATGGAAGTTCACATGCCATTGGTTACTTGCAGAGAATAAATAGGTGAACAAAAGGAAATAGTGGCTTTTACTTCTGAAGATTGCATGGTGTGGTTCTCTCCCATCCCAGGTGTACAGTGCTGTTTACCCAGAAGACATCCCATGTCATTTTTGGAGGGTAATCTATTTCGTTTGTAATTTTTATGATATTATCTCTGTTACAGATATGTTTTGTATTAATAAAGATACTTACAGTTCCCGTTTTTCCCCAGAGTCAGTTAAAGAATTCAGGTGGGTTCAGGACACACTGCAGAATTAATGGCACATAATTTACTTCATCAAATAGGAGCACAGCTTAGTGTAAGGGTGTCTTTTACAGTTCCTAGATTACCTTTTTAGCTGAAGCCAATGTAGCAAGACTTTCTTATTTGTAAGTTACAAATAAATGCGATTAAAACAGTGCTTATACAATAAAAGATTTATTGGCTGATGGCCCTGAAGGTCCAAAGTTGTGGGTGGGCATTAGTTGAGGGCTAACAAGGGCCTCAGTGGATAGGACCATGGTGGGTTTGTGCCTTTGTTCTCTGACCACCCTGCGTGGTGTTAGTTTCAGCTCAAAGAAAGCTGTAAGCTTTCCTTTTGTGGTAGCAAAATGAAAGCAGCACTTCTAGACTTTACATGTTGACAGCAAGCCCTCCAGAGAATTTCTTCAGAAATTTGAGACATTGGGTCATATTGGGCCATGTTCCATCTTAACTTGTGGCCGGTGGAATTGGACGTGAATAATGAACAGTTACAGCCTGACCCTGATGTCTCAGGGGCAGGATGGGCTCCATGATAGTATATGGCTGAGAACAGGGAAAGGTAAATTTTCCCAAAGGAAAAATTTTGCTTTGATTGTTGAGCAAAGAGAGTGTAGAACCTGTGGACAGTTTCCTAGACAAGAAAAAAACTAAAGGAATTCATCATCACCAAACCATTATTACATGAAATGTTAAAGGGACTTATTTAAGAAAAAGAAGATCAACACTATGAACAATAAAATGGCAATAAATACGTATGTATCAACAATTTAATCTAAAAACAAATTAAGCAAACAAGAACAGACAGACAGAAGCATGGATACAGAGAGTTTTGATGGTTGCCAGACTGGGGGTGGGGGCGGGTGTGGGGAACGGGCAAACAGGTGAGGGGATTAAGAAGTGTACAAATGGGTAGTTACGGAAAAGCTCTGGGGATGTAAAGTACAGTATAGGGAATGGAGTAGCCAGAGAACTTACACAGATGACTCATGGACGTGAACAGTGGTGGAGGACGGCCTGAGGGAGTGGGGTGCTGAGTTGGGGGGGGCAAAGGGGGAAAAATGGGGATAACTGTAATAGCATAATCAGTAAAATATAATTAAAAAAAAAGATCCTGAGGAGATAACCAACAAATGAACACTGCTGTTGATAGCATTTTGTATAAGATCATTGCAAGGTTCAGACATCTCTGGGGTGGGTTTCATGTGTAATCTTTTTAAATGGTTGTGAGTTCTTTGTTTCCTGATTCTTGTCTGAAATGTTTCTTTTATAAAAATACTTTAGAGTATTTTTGTGTAGGTGGTTGAATCAATGATGCATTAACACTGAACCTCAGTTGAGTTAAAGAAAGCATAAGGATTCCTATTGAAGTGGCATTATTAGCCTTAGTCAAGAGCCATTTCTGAATACCTTTCTTTTAGATTTCTGCATTTCAGATGTTGCAAAGCAGCTGTTAGTGTATCATGTTCTATCCACACATATGTTTTCTTTTCATTACTGCTCCGACAATTTAAAATTTTGTGATTTTTATATCCCTCGACAACACAGAGAAACCATTGGCTGAATGGCCTGTTGGCCTCTCAGCGAAACTGGAGCTCTCTGGAGCTCTCAGTTCGCTACTAACGATCGTAGTAGCATTCCCTATTATCTGTCTTCTTACAACTGAATTTACATTGCCTTCCTTGTCACTTTGGGCACCTGAGTTGGTAAGCTGCACGAGGCAGCCTGAGGACTCAAAGACCTGCCCTACTGCTTTACCTGCAGAAGGGCCTGGGAAGTAGTCCCTGTTGCCTACCTGCACCGAAGTCTCTGAGTTGTCCATTGTTGCAGTGCTCTAGGGCTTTCTTTTCTGTTGGAGCTCTGGATCTGACAGCTCTAAAGTGTAGCAACTATTATTCACCTCTTGCTTCACAGTATCCTTATCTGCATTGCATGTTGTTTCTTGAAAAAAATCTTGCCTTGCACATGACTGATCTGTTTTAGCACAGCGGTACAAATGCATTACTTGGTGTAATTCATCTTTTCTTTTTTACTTTCATTTTCTCTTGTGGCTCAGTAGGGACATTTAAAACACCAGCATTTAGTAATTTGTTCTGGCCAATGGAAATGATGAAGAATAACCACAGTGCATTTCTTTTGCAAATGTAGTTAGCCAAACAAATAGAGCAAGCTTAGTTTTACTTAGCATGTTATTAGTAGGTTGCTGATAATTGTGTTTTTACCCAGAGTTGGGAGCAGTGAGCTTTTACAAGGGTAAAAAGTGGACACATTATATGAAAACTTTCCATTCTCTTCCTCAATTTAAGGTGTGTTTTTTGAGCTTTGCCTAAAATCTGATGAGGTTCTAGAGCATATGCAATACTTACTTTGAAAAGAGAGTAGTAAATGGAATTTGAATGTCCTTATTAGTATGCATAATTGGGTCTATTAAAAATAACCACCCCATGTCTTGATTATGAGGAAATCTGGTAATATTTTTTCATACCATGATTATTGAAAAAAATTGAGACTATTAAAAATGGTTTCTTTATTAATACATATACAGTAAAGAATGACATATATAAACATGACTTACAAAAATGTTTTAAAACAACATTTGAAAGTTGGGCTGAATGTCTTCTAGCCAGTTAATAACAGAGAAAGAATTGTTTTGATAGCTCATAAGCCAGCAAAAAAACATTTCATATCTGCACATATTCATTTCTTTTTTAGAAAATGTGATGTGTCAATTTTTTATGTATAATTTCTCACTCATTATTATAAATTTTAGATTTTTTAAATCAAGTCCAGTTGCTTTCTAAAAAATCTGCTTCGCTCTCCCCTAGAGAAGGATGTGTGTTTCCACATCCTGACTCTGTGTGTGTGTGTGTGTGTGTGTGTGTGTGTGTCTGTGTCTGTGTTTTTCTCAGTCCACCTTTCTTTGTTGTTTTTTGTTCATGCCACTGAATGAAGGAAGATGCTGGCAACACATGCCGGTATCAAGCTTCCCGTGGTAGAGTCCACGTTTAAAAGTGCTCTAACACTAGAACTCCAGGCTCATTAAGTGGCTTAGCAATTCTCTGTAGAGAACGTACTTAAAGTGTATTTTATGTCATCCTCAAATGCTATCAGAAAAAAATTACATTTTTTATTGCAAAGTGTATATTTTATATCTGCTTTCTTTTGAAATACCATGAGATAAATTAGTAGGGGATTTCTTAAGTGATTTCCTGGGTGTCCGCTTTTTCTCCTTCTTCAAATCAGAGAAAACTTGACTCTATCACTAAACAGGCCTCTAGTCCTTTCTCAAACTGTGCCTGCTTTTAAGTTGGTCTTTAATGATCCTGTTGAAAAAATTTCCATAACTTACTAATTTAATTCTTGCATTTAGAGATGGAAGACACCCCTGTGAATTGTCTTGAATACTTTTAATTTTCTTATTTGCTATTTAAAATTCTACATTAACCAACCAGATTAGTGATTATAAATTTACACCTTCGGTTTTGATATGATTGAAAAATGTATGTATTTTTTCATACATTTTTTTCTTTGGTGTTACACATAAGCATGGAAACTTACATTTTAATTTATTATCATACTAAATTCATAGTAATGCTCAGTGGTGACGCTTAATGTCACGGCCATTTTCGGATTTGCCCCTCTTCTTGGTAACTGAGGATCACATTTGCACCCAGGGCTGTGGTGGGGAGGTGGTGGGAATCACAGCGTGTCTGTGCTTTCAGGCGCTGCAGGTACCCTCCTGGATTTGGACAATTCTGAGTCATCCTGAGCTTTTAGTGAGATGTGCAATTTCTTACACAAGATTTCTCTAAATGGCTGGCATAGAAAGAAATAAATAATGGGGTCCAAGCACACATTGGCAGCCGACAGCAGCAGAGTGAATTCCTTCACATGGTGCAGGATTTGTTTGGACTGGCAGCTGTAGTGAGATTCCGTCTGGCTCTGCGTATAGAAGATTCTGACAATGTGGTAAGGTACGAAACAGACAACAAACACTAACATGACGCTGAATATATTGCGGCTAGATTTCTTCTTGACTGAAATGGAATTCCTTCTGGATTTAAGGTGGGACTTGAAGATTTTCCTTGTGATAGCAGTGTAGAAAATGATCAACAAAAGAAACACGATCCAGAAGATGCCCACAAAGATGTAGTTTGATGCTTTATGCCACTTGATTCCCAGTTTGTTCTTAAGTTCCATGCATTTTATTTGCGTGACATCCTTAACACTCTGGTTGGTGAGGATAATGTTGGGGAGAGCAAGAAGGAGCATTAGCAGCCACACCATCACCGACAGGAGTTTGCTGTAAGTCACTGACTGGATAAAAGATGTCAAAAGAGGCTTTACGATTTTGTAGTATCTGTCAAAGCTGATGAGCCCAAAGAACACGATGCTGACGTACATGTTGACGTAGAAGAGCACCGCTGAGACCCTGCACACGAACACGCCCAGCTGCCAGGGGCCCAGGCCTGAGTCGCTGAGGATCTTGAAAGGGAACGTTAGGCTCATAAGGAAGTCAGCAACAACAATGCTCTTGAGATAGACGATGAAACTCTTCGAGCTGGGCACATAAAAGAAGATCCATGCCGACACGCTGTTGAGCAGGATCCCTGCGATGAAGACCAGGAGGTACAGCACGGGAATGATTTGCTGTACTATGAGGGTATTTTGGGAGCAGGATTCTGGGGGCTGAATGGTGGTGGAATTCATCATTTTGTCACTCTCGAAGATGAGGCCTAGAAAACAATGGGAAATAACCTCTTAGAGGGCTCCTGTGGCCTCCAGGTTAATTGTCAAATAATAAAGCAAAATACAGTGAATATAGTCAAGCCAACCACGTTTTTGAAATAAAGTTTTTGCTATGTGTCAGGCACCCTTCCCTCCCTCCTTTTTTCTCCCCCGCCCCTTTGGTAAAGGGGAACGCGGAGTAGTGACGACTGGAACGGAGAATGGGGGAGGCAGGACAGCCTGAGGACTGTGGGTAATGTGGGCAGCAGCACTTCCCTAGAGTGACAGTGGTTCCCTGTAAGACTCCAGAATTCTAGCATATACTTATTTAAATAGTCTCAGAAAGTAATGAAATTGTAAAAACAGAGAATCTGTTTTATTTTATTTAGAATTTTGTTTAATACACTAGGTTTAAGAGCTATTGCTACCGATATTACTCTTTAAAAAGCCCACCCTACGTATATTCTGGATACAACACAGCCAAGTGTAACTGGTGTTTTTGATAATGGGATTCGGTGTACCTTTCAACATTGAACTTTTCTGTGTTTTTTTTCCCCCATTGAAAAACTGATTTGCGTATTTTTATAAATTAGAAAACAAACAATAAAAGTACATTCTGGATCTGTACTGTTCAGTACAGTAGCCACGAGCCACATGTGGCTGGAGAGCTTTTGAACTGTGGCCAGTCAGATGGAGATGCGATGTAAGTATAAAATGCACACTGAATTTTACAGACTTCATACAAAAAAAGGAAGTAAAATATTTTAATATTTTTAATATTGATTACATTTGAAATGATATTTTAGAAATATTCTGTTAAAATATATTAATAGTTTTTTAGTTTTTTTTTTTTTTTCAGTTTCACCTCACCCGAGGACATGCTTATTGATTTTAGAGGGGTAGGGAGGGAGAAAGAGAGGGAAAGAAACATTGATGTTAGAAAGAAATGTTGATTGATTGCCTCTTGTACACACCCTGTCCGGAAACCGAACCTGCAGCCTAAGCACCTGCCCTGATCGGAAGTGAAACCTGCGTCCTTTCTGTTTGAGGGATGATGCCCAACCAACTGAGCCACACTGGCCAGACCATATTAGTAATCTTCATTTTACTTTTAATTTTTATTTCTAGAGAGGAAGGGAGGGAGATAGAGAGGGAGAGAAACATTCATGTCTGAGATAAACATTGATCAGTTGCTTCTCTCACACCCCCAACCAGGAACCTGGCCCTCAATCCAGGCATGTGCCCTGATCGGGAATGGAACCGGTGACCTTTCGGTCTGCGGAGCGATGCCCAACCCACTGAGCTACACCAGTGAGGGCTTCATTTTACTTTTTAAGAATATGGCTACTAGAAAAGTTAAAATTACATATATGGCTTGCATGATATTTACTATATATTGGACAACGCTGTTCTAGGTATTAATCAGAACCTTCTTTGGTTAGGGAATTCTCTCTCTGTTCTTCACTGATGTCAGACATAATGATTTAGGTCACAGGGAAGATTAGAATTGCTTCGAAAGGTGATTGATATTTGAAAGCAAATATTTGCTGCCCATCTTATATGTAATGACAATATACTGCTTAAAACCCTTAGCAGTATCCTTGCCATCAGGGTAAAATTCTAATTCTTTAAAGTTGAGCTCCCTTCTTCGTCTAATCTGTGCTTCTACCTCCAGCAACAAGTTCCTGTTGTCCTGAACCCTTCTCATGCCTTGTAGGTTCCATGATTTCTCTTACTTTGGACCTTTGCATAAACTTCCGTTTGCCTGGAAAACTCCTACTTGGAGTTTTTGATTGATACCTTCTTGGTGGATAACCTCTCCCCATCCTTGTGGCCTCAGCTTGGATGTCATTTTCTTTTAGTTCTCACTTGAGGACATGCTCACTGATTCTAAAGAGACGGGGAGGAAGGAAGAGAAACATCAATTGCTTGCCCCTTGTATGCGTCCTGATGGGACTGAACCTGCAACCTTTTGGTTTATGGGACCATGCTCAAACCAACTGAGCCACACTGACCAGGGCATTGGTGTTACTTTCTTTAGGTGACTTTTGCACCCCAAGCCTTGGTGGGGTGCGTTGGGTGTCAGGCTCCATTTCTGTGCTCATAGCTGTGTTCTTCTTTCCTATTACAACACTTACCTCTTCAACCTTTGTTTTTTTGTTTCTTCCACTTTTGTAAGCCTCTTTAGAGGAGAGAGACCATGTCATTTTTTACCATTGTATTCTTAGCATTATATTTAGGATTTTAGACAGTTAAAATATTTGTGAAATAAATAAATATGCAATCTGGGAATATAAGACATGAAGCCCTACTCTTAAACAATTTGTATCTAGTCAGGGATTAGAGGAAAGACTGTGGAGGATTGTGGGTTCCTTGAGGTCAGAGAATATATCTTGTTCATACTTGTATTTCAGGTGCCAAGCAAGGTGCTTTACACGCAGTGAGTGAAGTCAGTAAAATAAAGGCAGTGTGAGAAAGTGGAATTTAGAAATGTGGGATATGAAATACGGTCCCATTCCAAATAAAAAAAAAAAAATCCTACAAGAAAACTTGGCGTGCTGTTGTCCACAACAAATCATGCTTCGGCATACTCTTCTTTCATGCATGCCAGGTGGCAAAACTAGATCTATTTCTAGCCAGTCTCTGCATTTCCTTTGGGAGGAAATCTTACCTCCTGTACACTTGGTCTTTGCTTCTTTGTAGGTCTACAGTAGCTTGTTTTATATTTTAGATGAAAAGCAGAGAGGACACATTTTCTATTTTTAACTGTTCACTGTGACAAAGAGTCTCTGACTGGTAATTAATTTTGTCTTGTTCTGTGGTGGTCAGATGCAGCGTAGTCTAGGAGCCAGACTCCTGGGGGTAAGCTGCGTGCTCCTAGGGGTTGCAGGCCCCTCCTCAGTCAGTGTGCTGTAGTTATTGACTCACTAATTTACCAGGGTTTACAATATTAAAGAATGTAGATGTTAATACATTTCAAAGTACTGTAGAAGGAAATGTTACATAAATAATTATGTAATGATATAGAGAAGAATTTCAGAAATTTCAGAAAGAATTTCAGAAATTTCTCAAACATTTTCAGAAGTGTTTGAGAACCAAATTTTACTCCTTATGGAAACATTATAGAAGCCACTATTTGTAGAAATAGTGAAGAATTTCTCAGGAATGATTTAGTGAGAGCCACAGTTCCTTTCCTTGTGGACACCTGCATGAATACATTTTTTTCAGTCTTGTGCCATATACTTTTGAGCTGCAATATGTCTGAATGTAGCCTGATGCCATGGGTCCAGGACTATGTTTTCGGGTTTCTCCAGGTGTTGAGAATCTGAGCATATATACCATTGGGGCGCTCATCACTGCCTGCCTCCCCTCTCACTTGGAGGTTGGCCGAAGCGGCTGGCTGACCCAGGCAAACTTCTGGAGCAGGTGTGCCTTCTGAAATGAAGTGAACACTCAAGCCTTGCTTGATTGAGTTGGTCTGCGTTTAAGCAATTACAGACAACAGGGCCTTTTAGGATCGTAAGGTATGACGCACGCTAGTTGGGGGAAGGGGCCAGGGTATCGCTGCTACCTGTGCCACTCACTGTCTGGTTGGATACAACAGAGGAAAATTAAAGAGATACCCTATGTGAGTGACCAGCTAAAGGTAAATCCAAGACAGTTTTGGTAGTGATTTTCCAGCTCTTAGGTATCTTTTCCATTAGCAGTGGAATTGATGGTAGCACATTGTGTCATGTAGGTAGAAACTTTACTGTGCTTCATCTTGGTGTCTCAGAGCACGGCAGCCTTCTCCACAGTGTCAGATTGAGAGATATGTGAAGAAAGAGCATCTACAGCAAGTGCGGCCAATTTTATATATTGAGACCAAAAGGCAGGAATATGGGTTGGATGAAAAACAGGACAAGGTAATGAGACATATATAACTTCGACCTTGAAACATTTGCCCAGCGTCCCCTCTTTATCTTTAGTATAAAGATGATTTAATGCCCTGATAAAGGGACAAACCAAAACTTCAAATCATTTAGCAAATGGAGGAAATGCTGATTTTATACAGTAACTTAAAAATAAATAAGAACCAAATGAGTCAGAGAGAAAACAAAGAATGTCTTGGTGTGGCCCAACAATGCTCCCTTCCCTGCCCCAAGCTCTCATTTGGTCTACTATTTCTAAGCTGCCTGCTCCAGCCCATTGAAGATAAAAGACACACAGGGAGGGGGGAAAGAAAAGAAGAAAACAGAAAAGGACCTCTGGATGATGATCAACTGAAAAAGCGGGCAGGCCAGTTAGTGGAGGTGTAGCCAGCCCTGCCCAAGGTAGTTAATTATAAGATTCTATCTGAATTTCTGCAGTGACAGTGGTCATTATATTAACCTTGAGCTTTCAGGAATGCAAACATTGTTCCCTAACGATCTCTGTATGTGGCAGAGCTGTTTAAAGATCATTAAGAGTATAAGTCCTCAGCTTCATTTAGGCAGAACTCTTCCTTATTCCACAAATGCAGGTAAAGGAGAATGAAGTGAAAAGGCATGAAAGTTTTAGTCTTTGTATACCATGGCTTTGGGTCTTTGGTAACAATTAAAGAATGTGGTGGAATGGGATTTATGTGCCCCAGAGACAGCTGTGTAATTATAGTAGCATATGAATTGCTTTCTTTCACTATTTTTGCACAGCTAGAATATCAATGGCGAAGATTCATTCTAGTGTAGATGGTGAGTACACTTGTCTTTTAGTGCAACATGAGGTCTCAGGATGTGCTACCTTAAGTGTTTTCATGTAGAATATTGAGTACCACGAAGGGACTCCCTCTTTGAGAAGAACTTACCTGTAGTTGATACAGGGCCATTCAAAGCAATGCTTACCCCCAAAATACATTCATCTTAATAAAAACATGCTGAGTTCATTACTTATCTTCTGAGTAATTACTGTGACCCATTTTTCTCTTCTATATGGGCCACCTCCCACCGTTCTAATTGTGTGTCATCATTCTGTTTTCTCTGAAGAAGGGAAA